TTCCTTCCTTTTTTTCCTTTACCTCCTTCTTAGTCCCTTCCTCCTTCCCTCCCTCTCTCCCATTGTCCCTTCCTTCCTTCCTTTCATTCACCTCCTTCTTAGTCTCTTCCTTCTTCCCTCCCTCTCTCCCATTGTCCCTTCCTTTCTTCCCTTCACCTCCTTTTAGTCTCTTCCTCCTTCCCTCCCTCTCTCCCATTGTCCCTTTCTTCCTTCTTTCCTTCCTTTCCTTCACCTCCTTCTTAGTCTCTTCCTCCTCCCCTCCCTCTCTCCCCTTGTCCCTCCCTTCCTTCCTTCCTTCCTTCCTTCCTTCCTTCCTTCCTTCCTTCCTTCCTTCCTTCCTTCCTTCCTTCCCTCTTTGTCCCTTCCTCCCCTCCCTTCCATTGTTCCTCCCTTCCTTCCCTCTCTCATTGTTCCTTACTTCCCTCCCTCTTCGTCCCTTCCTTCCTCCCCCCCTCCGTGCCCAGGAAGGGACAAGGGGAGGGGGATAGGCTGCCGAGAAACAGAAGAGCGCAAAGCCAAGGAGAAGAAGGTGGTGGTTTCCTCCCAAAGAGGGCTCATTTTCTCCACCCCTTCCCTGGGTTTGTGGGGAATTTCTCATCACCAACGCTGACAGGTTCTGCTTCAAGCCTGCTGTGAGCTTTCTCACCCCCTTTGCTTCTCCCCCCCGCCGCTTTCGTGAGGATTGTGGTGCCCTTGGGAAGCCGATCAAAGCTTAGGAGAGGAGGAGCAGTCCCTTCCTCCTTCCCTCCCTCTCTCCCTGTCAAGCACCGGAGGGCTCAACATGAACAGGTGGAGGAGGAGACAAGGATGGGCGGGGTGGCAAAGGAGACCTGCAGCCGTGACCAGACCTCCCGGCTGACAAGTGCAAGTTTGGGGGTCACCAGCTGACAGGCGCAGGAGTTGGGTGCTGTGTGGCCTCCCCTTGGCTGACCTGCATGCATGAGAAGAAGTCAATCCGGTTGCTGAACAATGAGTCTCTGGGGAGGGTGGGGCCTTGCTCTGCACCTGCGCTCTTCATGCACCCCCTGCAGGGCACATTTGGTAGAGTTTGTGCAGACTGCCGCCAAGCAGCATATTTTCCACAAACAAGTGAGGTGGAGCAGAGGGGGGGGGGAGGGAGAGAAAGTGGTTGACAAGCCCTGCCTAAGACCATCGGAAATATGTGTTTTCCTATGGTCTTAGGTGATCCCTGTGAAAGGCTCGTGCGACCCCCAAAAGGGTCACGACCCACAGGTTGAGAACCGCTGGTTTAGAGCAATGTAACAGACATGAAGAGGTACTTTAGAACAGAGTCCCCAACCCTGGTCTGTGGACTGGTAGCGGGCTGCGACATGCCTGCAACCGGTCTGCATAAACAAGCAAAGTCTCATCTGTGGGATGCAGGCAGCACACAAAACTATGCACTCTCTGGTCTGCAGAAAAATCTTTCTCCACTGAACTGGTTCCTGGTGCCCAAAAGGTTGGGGACATCTGCTTTAGAACATTACCTACAGTCTAAATCAGGGCTTTTCAACTGGTGTACCACTTGTGGAACTTTGCCACATGACAGGTGGTACGCGATTGCTAGCCAAGTGTAGCAGGGGAGGGGAATGAGCAGAAGATAGCCAAACCTAAGGGAGAGGCATCTGCAGAACTGTCTGGACTCCACAGAAGCCCCAGGAACCAGCAGGGCTCCAGCTAATTGGCGCTTCAAGAAGCAGCTTGGAGCTGGAGGTGAACTGAAGGGGGGAAGAGAGGAGAGGCTATAAAAGAACATGGTTTGGGTGGGGGAAGGGGAAAAAGACAGCAGGAAAGGTTTAATCCCTTTAAACAAATGTAATTAGCTTTACCCCCTTTAACTGAGTCTGTGGCTTTTAAAAAGTTTTCTTTGAAGGTAAACTGGCTTAATTTAAAGCTAAAGCTTTTTGCAATTGCTAGAGCCTTTCAGTTTAGGATTGCAACACTGTGACATGTGACACACCTGAGGCAGTTTAAAGAGAAAAAAAACGGAGTTTGTGTTTCTTTATTTTCTTGCTTTTCACTTGATTCCTGTGTCTTTAAGGTACGTGGAAGGGATTGGAAGGGTGCATTCTTATTACACTGTGGAAGAGCTCAGAAGGGCCAATCAGCTAGCTCAGGAGGGCTGAGGAATTTTGGGAGGGCTGAGGAATTTTGGGAGTTGAAGTCCACAAGTCTTAAAAGTGACAAGTTTGAAGACCCCTGAACTAGCTGGTAGTGGTGCATATTAATAAAGATGGATAAATTCATCATACATTTGTCAGTGCAAAGAGAAAGTGATTCAGCAAAGGAACAACCACCGAAGAAATTAAAACTGGTAATGTTTTTATTTTTTTCCACAGTTTGTAATATTTTATTAGATTATAGAATAAAATACAAAAATACAAAAGCAAATAGTAAGACACAGTGGGGAAGAAAAAGGGGGGAAAAGTGAGGGGGAGAAGGGAAAAAGGACAGACTTCCTCTGTTGCAGTAGAAGGAAGCATTAATATTGAACCTCAACTTTTTACTTTTCCATAATATTATAAACTAGCCATTTCTATAATAACCAATGAATCTAATCAGTAAAACCCAAAATCCCCCCCCCATTTTTTAGTCATCAAGTTTTTGACACCTTGCTAAGCACTGGTGGTACTCAAATATTGTCATGTCCTAAAAGTGGTACAATCTGTGAAAAGGTTGAAAAGCCCTGCTCTAGATCAGTGATACTGAAACTGAATCAATTACTCCCTTCCCCAGTTTTTAATAATGCTATTAATCCCCCTCCCCAACTCTCCCACATAAATTCCATTCTTCTACCCAAGCAGGTTAGCAGTGGCAGTCTGGAACTGGATTCTTGACTCACAAGCATTTACAAATTATTTCACTATCTCCAACTGCCCAAATTACTCTCTAAATTACTTTCTAAATTAAGATCCACACACTTTCCCTAAATATTGCCATCTGATGGGAGCTAGGGAGCATGCCTTTTCTATGGCAGCCCCTGCCCTACGAAACACTTCACACCCTGACGTTCAGCAGGCCTTCATCTTTTAGACTTCTATAAGGGTTTGAAAACCTGGTTTTCCCTCCAAGAGCTTGGAGAAGACTAGCACTTTGATTTGGCACCAGGATTTTGTTTTTAATTTTTAATAGGTTTGGTTTTATAGTTTTAATGTGATTTTATGTGTTTTTCAGTCTTTGATTGGAAGCTGCCAAGAATTGATTGAAAGATGAGTGGCCGTATAATGGTTATAAACAAACCAATCAACCATTGGTCAAGATTCTCCAATTATCTTCTTCTTTGTACTCACAGTCTACCCTGAGCTCCAATGCAAATGAAGCTAAGACCATTGGTATAATAGGCCAGATCCATGTTACAGACCAAAGCTACTTTCTACCTGCTTTCCAAAATATGTAAACCAGGCCACTCAATCTTAATATTGGTACCATCACAGCTGGAACATCAGCTTTTATGGATTTGGTTCTCAGACTTTATGCTGCTTCACACATGCAATTTGCATCCGCAGAAACACTGAGTCTTCCCCTCCCTTCCTTCTCCCACCTTCTCCCAATTTACATCCTGCACCAGTTTACCGCATGATATATCAGGTGCATACCATGCTACTTTTCAAGCTTCTGAGTTTTGGCCATTGTAGAGTAACAAGGGTATCCTATTGTAATATCAATCATTGAATGTAGTGATCATATAATTGATTTAATTTTATGCAAATGAATGCAGTTCAGGTAAAGAATGTTTTTATTTACAATGCCTCCATCTAGACTGCCTATCAAGATTTTCATAGGGAGGTTCATTTCTTACTTCTCTCCTCTATCCCAATCTTCCCCAGCCTGGCCGTTCCAGATATGAGCTGGGGCTTCAGCTCTCACTATTGTACATTAGCTCCTCCTATTTGGCAACCCACAATTTAATTAGATGTAGGGGACTAGTGGTTTTCTCCATACTACTTCCAGTATCCCTTTACCAGACATGAAGATAGTGATTGAGAAGAATTGCAATTTAGCAACATTTGAAGGAGTCCAAATTCTTTATCCTGTTTTGCATTACTGGGAGAAAGTACCGTATGTGGGTAGGTAGGTATAAGATCTACACTTATTCCAGAGGCTCTAGGGGGTATACAAAATCTATCTACTCTACCCAGACTTACTGTTGTGAGATGGGCACCCATATAAATCATTTATACATTAAATAAAATCAAACAGAATGTAAAATACAATAAAAACACAAAAACTGTAGGAGTAGCAGACAATAGTGCTTTGAATCTTTCCTAATTGTTTTTAGTTGACTCTAGGACTGGGGTAGGCAACCTTGGCTCTTTTATAACGTGGACTTCAACTCCCAGAATTCCTGAGCCAGCATGGTTCAGCTTGGAAACCTCTCCCTTTCTCCTCAGCATGGCTGGCTCAGGAATTCTGGGAGTTGAAGTCCACGAGTCATAAAAGAGCCAAGGTTGCCTACCCCTGCTCAAGGGGCTCCTCTCAAAACTGAGTACACCTTGTTATACAAGTTACTTACTTGTTACTTACACCCTTGTAAAGTCATTGCTTTATGGATTAGTGCTTTAGTGTTTAGTCAAAATTAATAAAATGAGAGAAACTGAAAATGAAGTTTCCCATTTTCTCACAATAAAGGTTTACAAAAATCTGGCAATATTATGCTGTGTGATGTTTAAGAACTGCAGTTAGGTGGGCACAAAGTCTTTTCCCTGATCCATCAAGTAAAAACAGATGGTGGGGAAAGGTCAAGGGAGCAAAAAGCTCTTTTATTTTACTTTACAAGGCTGTGAGCATTCTAATAATGGAGGCAGGGAAGGAAAATTAAGGAAATAACTTTGGCAATGCAGTGCTGTGGTCTGAAAATACAGGGCTTGAATCCAATTTGGATTCAGATCCTGTTCCCAAGGTTGGGCCCATGCCAGATTTCTCTTTGACGTTTTATGCCCCATTCCAAATTAAATAAATATGAAGCTACTCAGGATTAACTATGTCCTGTTACATGTACTCTGAAACCAAACATTTGAGGAATAAATAGGGAATTATATCCGTTAAGCTTTTTTATACTGTTTTTGAAAATTACAGAGAAATCAAAACGTGAGTAATTACTACACATTGCCTGCAAAGAGGGAAATGTACTTTTCTTAACATTTTATTAAAGTTTGTTATAGAAATAAAAATGAAAATTAGAAATGTTAAAGAGGAAAGAAGATATGTTCAGAGGAAAAAAAGAAAATAAAAATGTAGTGACTTCAGCAATACAGTACAAAAACAGTTTTAGCCTCAACTTTTTGCTTCACATTTCTGAGTATTTCAAGCTCTTTCTATTACAACACAGTCATTCTAGTCTTAAAAAAATTAAATCAAAGTTTTATGTTTTTTCAGTTACAAGCACAAAGTTCAGAAGGGGTTTCCAAGTAGAAACAAAACTAGATAATTTCTGCTCTTTAATTAAAACAGTCAATTTTTCCATCTCAGCCAGCTCCACCACCTTCACTGTCCATACTTCCTTCTGAATCAAGATAAAAATTCAATCCCAGAGTTTCTTGGCTTTGTCACACGTCCACCAGAGATGATAAAATGTACCCTCTTTACACTTGGCATTTCCAGCATGCATTTGAAACTCCTTTATATATCTTTGACAATTTCGTGGGCATTAAATACCAAGGATACATGGCCCAAGTCTAATAATCTCTTATTTCTTAGGATCACCAAAAAGTAATTGTAATTACCTTGTAATTAAATAAACTGTAATTTATCCCACTTTAACAAATCTTTTGCAAGGAAGGAAATGTGTGATTATCCTAGAAATTGTGGCAATCCAGTAATACAAATGGTATGATTGTGAGGGTCAGTCTATGGATATATTGAGGTAGTTAATGACCAAAAATGTACCTATCTATTTATCAAATTTATATAGCTGCCCATCCCACAAAAAGTGATTCTGAGCAGTGTACAAAAATTAATTAAAACAAAGCATATATTAAAAAGTCAATATTAAAATGTAAAAAATGACAAATGCAAGAGAGAGTTATTCACCATGGAACTCTCTCAGGGTTTTAGTCCCCTGGGGATGCCATAGCCAGCAGGGATGCAGCTAGCTGCATTTCAGGAGGAAGAACGTTCCGGGGAGGAACTGGCATGGCAGACAAGGGCCGCCTCCTGGGCCCGCCAAATCTAATTTCCTTGCAGATGCGATCCACAGAACGCCCTTCCTGCTGGATCTAATAGAACAGGCAGATATGACTGGGGAGAGGCAGTCCCTCAGAGAAACTAGCCCCATGCCATGAAGGATTTTAAAGGTTGAAATATTTGGCCTTTGCCCCAGATTTTTCTCCTTTATGGTAGAAATGATGCATATAGGTAAGAGGACAAGTCCTGGCTTATAGGATTTGGGTCACCCACCACTCTAATAAAGTAAGCTGGGATGGCCTAGAACAGTGGTTCTCAATCTTTCTAATGCCATAACCCTTTAATACAGTTCCTCATGTTGTGATGACCCCCAACCCCCTATCCAGCTGGCCGGGGAGGGGGGCAGGAAGGTCGCTCTGCTGGCTCTGCCCAGCCTGGATGGAGAAGCGCCATTCCTCTCCCTCTTTCTCTCTTTCTTTCCTCTCTCTTTCTCTCTTTCCTCTCTTTCTCTTTCCTCTCTCTCTTCTCTCTCTCTTTCCTCTCTCTTTTCCTGTTTCTCTCTTTCCTCTCTCTCTTTCTCTTTCCTCTTTCTTTTTCCCCCTCTCTTCTCTTTCTCCCTCTTTCCTCTCTCTTTCCCTCTTTCCTCTTTTTCTTTCCTCTCCCCCTGTTTCTTTCTCTCTCTCTCTCTTTCCTCTCTTTTTCTCTTTCCTCTCTTTCTCTTTCTTCTCTTTCTTTCTCTCTCTCTCTTTCTCTGTTTCCTCCCTTTCTCTTTCTCTCTCTTTCTCCCCCTCTCTATTTTCTCTCTCTTTTCTTCTGTTTCTCTCTTACGGCAGCATCATCGGGGGTACCTGCCGCCCCCGGCCTGGTTGCCACCCCCATGCTGCCTGGCCTTGTCCTCTGTCCATCGATGGAGCCGCGGTGGGGGCTGGTGCTGTGTGGCCTGCCAGCCCCTCCGCCAGCCCAGCTGCTTACCTCCAGGCACCCCTCTTCCTCCCAGTGCCTGCCTGAGCCACCTTGGGGGGAGCAGGAGGAAAGAGAGGAGAAGGGTGAGAAAACCACTGCCGCCGCCCGAGCCGGGACTCCGCACTGCCTGGCCTCACCCTCCGCCCATCCTATGGAGCCATGGTGGGGCTGGTGCTGTGTGGCCCCTGCCAGCCCCTCTGCCAGCCTGGCTGCTTCCCCCCAGGCACCCCTTTTGCCCTGGCGCCCACCTGAGCTTCCTTGGGGGCAGTAGGAGAAAGAAGGAGAGGAGGAAGAGGATGGCAAGGAAGCCGCCGCCAGCGATGCGCCCCAGGAGGTGGCTGTCCTCTCCTACCTTTGCTGAATCTCTTTCTTCCTTCCCAGCAGCCTGGATTCTGGCATGCCTTCCTGGCCAGCAGGTCCAATGGTAGGGCTGGCTAGGGATTGCAGGAGCTGGTCTCCCTTGGGCCACGGCTTGCGGGAGGGCTGGCCCACTAGTGAAGCCTCCAGCGGGCCACTCCCAGCAGGGATCCCGGGGCTTCCCCGGGTGGCTCCAAGGCCATGAGGCCCTGGCTGTGCTTCTCCCAGGGGGTGGGGCACCCAGGCATAGGGCCAATCAGGAGCCCTGCAGGAATAGGTCTGCCTGAGAGAGAGAGAGAAGGGCAGTGAAAGTGCCTCTCTGTCTCTCTCTCTGCAAATGGCAGAGGAGACAATGCGGAGACAGATGCAGAGTGGTGTCTCGGATCCTAAGACCATTGGAAAATATGTGTTTTCCGAAGGTCTTAGGCGACCCCTGTGAAAGGGTCATTCTACCTCCCAAAGGGTCGCGATCCACAGGTTGAGAACCGCTGGCCTAGAACAAGTTATGGATGGAAAGTAGCAACAGGGGAAAAGGCAGTCAATTTACTGATTGGTGTGTATACAGTATATATACATAGGACTGACCAGGCGGAATGTGTCTGATATTTTGTGGAAAGGAAATATCAAGTGTGGGCATCAGTAGCAGCACTTTTCTCAGTGTTGATTAACTTCACTTGCTTTGAAGCTTTGAATTTTTAAATGCATTCCTTTTTTATAATATATTTTATTAATTTTTTACAATAACAATCTTTAGTGCTTGGTAAACAATGTGTTGTCTGGATTCATATATTTAACAACAATCAATAATAGTTAATCAACATACTAGCTAATGATACATTTCCATGATCTTCTCTTCTTCCAATAGTATTTTCCTTTTGCCAACATTGAGTAAATACAATTCTTATTATATTCGATAGATACAAAGTTGAATGTAAACATTTTTCTAGTGTTTATAAAATAACATTAACATCAGTGTATAAGATCTTTTCTGATCAGCTTATGTTTCAGATGTATTTGCAAAGAGTCACTATAGGTCCTGTTTTCAAAGTTCTTATTTAAGCTTACTTTTCTGTCAATATTCAAAACATTCTTATCAGTTATAATTTTCTCAAAATGGATTACATTTAAATGTCCAGACATTTCATTCACATAAGTCATCCCAGTATTTTTACATTTCTCATATCATAAAAAAAGTACTATACTACTTATAAATCACATCCCTCTAACTATAGGACCCATTTATATCCAAAATGTATCTATTCTTTTAGCCATATTCAAACAAGTGTTTAGTCATATAGTACTCCATCTGGTAAATCAAATCATCTGATCTCTTGAATTTAACTTTAGCTTTCTTTTGCTAAAGAACTTTCTGAATCAATGTATTCAGCTTGCTAGAGAATTCTTCCTGTATTTTTATAAATGTTATTAGGAACGGGGAAGACGGATTAGGTGGAGCATTTTTGAGAAGGCGTTTCACCCATTTATAATTGTTAAAGAGTTTCCACTTTCCTCCTCCCTCAATTTCTCTTTTCATTTTTTTGTCTCCCAAACTCTAGTGCAGTGGTTCTCAACCTTTTTAATGCCACAACCCCCAACCGGTCGTAAGTTGAGGACTACTCAACCAGTCGTAAGTCGAGGACTACTCAACTGGTGCAGCACCATTTGCAGAATGGGACTTTTGGCGGGCTCAGCAGGGCAGAGACAGCCTGGACAATTCCTATTGGTTTTTGAAAGCCAATAGAATTAGACTCTATTCAAGAAAATCTATTCTATTGGCTTTCAAAAGCCAATAGAATAAAAGGGAGTAGCACAGCCAAGGAAAAGGGGAAAAATGGTGGACTGCATTGTTTGGCGACCCCCGTGAAATGGTCGTTCGAACCCAAATGGGGTCCCGACCCACAGGATGAGAACCACTGCTCTAGTGGTTCATCTGGCATCTCTATAATCCATTTTGTCAGATCTTCCTTCTTATCCTCTTGTTTATTTTGAAGATAAGATGTCTTTTCCCTTTCCAATATTATAAAAGAATCTTGCAGATTTTCCTTTGCCTGTACTAAGTTGTAATTCCTTTCATTTGTAGCCTCCATTTTGGGTCACTTTCCTCTAATTTGTGTTTTATTATCTGATTTATTTGTTCATATCTTTATTATTATTTTCTGAGAGTTTTTTATTTGTGAGCTTAGGTTAAAGATGTGCTCATTTATGTCATCTAAATTATTTTTAATCTCATCATGATTTGAAACAATTGTCATTTGAATTGAATCAATTTGAATTAGTTGCAACATAGCATGTATTTCCACTGGAAGATATTTGCCTTATCTTGAAGTATTACTCCTGCAGATCTCTGATGTTCCAGGCTGGGAGCTTCAGAAAAGAATCTTGGGTGTGGTTTCCTACCACTTTTAGTTAGGTATGCAACATCCATTTTATCTCCCCCCTTCAAATAATCTTTCACAGGTACCATAATTCCTGTATAATAGTCTTATCCAACCAACTAATCTTAAGGTCCAAACAACAATGTCTTGTATAGTTCTTATCCTTATTTATGGCCTTTATAGTCCAATGCATTTCCAATTGTCAATCCACCACTAAAAGCAATATTTTATAACAGTTCTTCTGCTCAGGGATCCTACGATTATCAATCAGCCAAAATTTGCAATCCAAAATGTTCAACCACCTAAGAGCAATTCAGGAGCTTCCCTCTCTAGAAGAGTAGCCAAAAGTCATTAAATGCATTTTTATGTTCTGCTTATTTGGTATTAAACAGCTGCCGAGTTTCTCCTGATTATACTTTCCTACCAGTTGTCATAGAATCTGTTAATTGCTAGATTGTTGCAGTTCTATGGCCTTTTGGAAACTATTTCATTCAGGTTTTGTTCTTTTGTCCCTCAAGGAAAATCCCAAAAGCAACAAACAAGCTGAAAGCAGCAAGCAAGCAAGCAGTAATACGTTATTGGAAGATCAGAAGAATTTGCCAGACATCAAGAACAAAAAAGTTTGAAAAAAAAAGTGCACAGAAGACCAAAGTAACTACAACAAAAGTGTTACTTACAGTCCCTGAAACCCTGCAAGGATGTATAAATAAATAAGAGAAACAGGGTGAAGTGGAGAAACTAAAAATTATATAAAGTGCTGCTGCAAACCACAAAAAACATGAAAAGCATAGTGCTTGAAGCCAGTTCAATTATCTTCTTTTGCTGTTAAGGATAAGATCCCAGTAGTCATGGATCTGCTCACCTATAGGGTATAGTTAGCATCTTTTGGGGGAGGGGCTGTCTGTTTACCCAAGGAAAGGACATTCCTCAGGTCCTACTTCATTATGGTTGGAGCTATAGAAGCCACCATAGCAAGTTCAATGTACTATGTCAGGCAGCCACTGATACTGGATCTCTGTAAAGTAAAGGCTTCTCTGGAGTCCAATAACGAAGGAAGAAATTTGCTCCTCTTGTTCCCTTTAACATTGAGTGGTTTTTTATGAGTCATATGGTGGGTTGTTTAAGGAGAATGGAAACTTTTTGTTTTTCTAGTTTCCAAGATAGGTCTGTCATAGTGGGATATCTTTTCTTCCCTCCCTTTTAGCTCACTGAAGTCCAACTGGAGTTTCCAAGTGTCTCATCAAAAGTTTCGGATGCTGAAAAAATGTATGATTACATTAACAAAAGTAATTTTATTTGTAAGGAAAAGGGATAAGTCTATTTAAAGTTCAGGTTGAGAAAGATTGGAAAAATGAAAATTGACAGTGCAAAGCCTAACTTTTGCAGCCCAGACAGGTCTGTGTTTTAATAATGAAAATGATAATGTTGATGATGATGATAATAATAATAATAACAATAATAATAATAATAAAGTTGGAAGGGACCTTGGAGGTCATCTAGTCTAACCCCCTGCTCAGGTAGGAAGCCCTATACCATTTCAGACAAATGGCTGCCCAGTCTCTTCCTTTCTGGAAGAAAGTTGCTAATAATCTCTTCAGAGTTGAATTATGCCCATTGAACTTCCATGAATCTGGACTTTCTTTATGGTTTTGATATTTTTTTCTACCCAGATGGCCTTTGAATATACGAGTTTTCATCTCCCTCAGGGTTACCCTGAATGGTCCACAGCAGTGTAGACATAGATGTCAGACTGATTGGTCTGTAATAGCAATAGCACTTAGACTTATATACCACTTCATAGTGCTTTACAGCCCTCTCTAAGCGGTTTATAGAGTCAGCACATTGCCCCCAACAATCTGGGTCCCCATTTTACCAACCTCGGAAAGATGGAAGGCTGAGTCAGCTGTGAGCTGGTGAGGATTGAATTCCTGCATTTTAACCACTGCGCCACCATGGCTCCTCCAATAATACATATTAGCATTATATAAGTACTTAAGTGTACATGAATAGAGCTCCTTGAGACCTCCCAGAAGTGCTAGAAGTGAGATAGGGACAGGATGGATATTAGAGATGAAACCCAACCTCTGTGCTGAGGGTCTGTATGTGCTTCCTCCTATACTCCTAGTGACAATGGTGAAATCATCAATTTATACTGTGTTCAAGACAACTTCTATAGTTTACCAACAAAACTACATGGATAGAAATTATAAAGTGATTGATGATATAAATGATGATATCTTGGTTGGATGGCACTCAACATGCTACTGAGAAAGTGCTGGGGATCTTTGAGAGAACTAATGGTGTTTATGACATGGCTAAACTAGACTCTTCAGGATATCTAGCTGCTGAAGTTGCCATGCAGGAAATGAAAATCCGAAGCAGTGAGAATATGGGATGTAAGGACATGAACATGGGAAAGCTCAACACAATGAAGGATGAAATGAATTGACCACACACTAATATTTGATATGGAGAAGAACTGGACACTTTCAGTCAGAAGAGCACATTGTTTGTTACTCAGGATATGAAAAACAGTGAAGGAAAGGCATTGCTTTCATAGTTAGGAAAGATTTAGCAAAAACAATATTGTAGGAGATGAAATGTTTGACCCCCTCCCTCGGGCTCAGCCTGGTCATCTTCTACAAATAGTTGGCTATAATCCAGTCAATCACTAAATAATAATTTATTTTGGACAGTTCTTCAGTATGACGATATACAGGTTAATGCTCCAACCACTGATGCAGAAGAACAAGAGTCTGATGAGTTTTGTAATCAAGTTCAATTTGAAATCAACAAACATGTTGTGCTGTTTATGTTTAAATGCCAAAATTAAAGTATTAATGAAGAAAATATAGTTCGAGTATATGTTTATGAAACTGAAATGAAGCAGGAAAACAATTTATCGATTTTTGTCAATCCAACAATTTCTTCCTTGCTAATACAGTCAACATATATGACATCACTCAGTGGCATATGCAGAAAACAAACTAATTATAATCTTGATACAAAAAGGTGGAAATATCTGAATTATAACATAGGGTAGAGACTGACTATGGAACACATCATAGACTTCTCATGTGGCAGATACAAGTTAAGCTAAAGCGGGACAAAAATGCCAACAATTTCCATGATATATACTCAGGAATATTGTACAGTCTTCACTTTTAAGGAGAATATTAGGAATAGCTTTGAAGTCATGAACTTCACTGACAGAGAAACACGGGAATTGGGGAATGAACTTAAATTGTTAGATGAATGTGAGCAGAGACTGCCAAAGATCAAGAAGCAGAAGAAAATAAATGTCAGAGCAAGCCATGGAAATTGCCAAGAAGAGAAGAGATGCCAAAGTCAAGAAAGACAAAATCCTCTTAGAAGAGACAAAAAGCAATATTACAACATCCAAACAAGGGAGAAGCATTTTCAGAAGTGCAAGATTAATGTCAACTCTTTGAGGGAGTCTGGGCAAGAAGCACCAACCATGAGTATTTACACTACCTATAATGTAAGGTCACAATATAAGAATGTGAAAATACCTCTACCCTCCCTTACTTTTACTTTCCTGAAAATTAGGGAGGATCCCTTCTGAGATGCTTTCTCCACCCCATCCCTCCTTCAGACTCAGATTTCATTTAACACACCCTTGCCTGGGCTTCAGTTCTTCCTCCTGTCTCCCAAATCATTCCCACATACCATTACAATACCAAATAATACCAAAAAGATGTCACATGTGCTTTATTGATTATAAAAAAGTCTTTCATCGTGTCTATCATGTTAACCTGTGGAATGTGCTGAATACTTTATTTCCTCATGTGAAATTCATACACAGGCCAGGAAGCCAAAGTACAGACAGAACACGATGAAGCAGACTGGCTCCCGGTTGGAAAAGAACCATGGAAGGGACTTTGGTGGTCTTCTAGCCCAATCCTTTGACCAAGGGAGCCTTATTCCATAATAACAAATGGTCATCCAATCTTTTCCTGAAAAGCTCCAGCAATGGAGCACAGATAGCTCTGAGAGGCAACCTGCTCCATTGATTGTCACTAATTTCTTCTTAGTTCCAGATTAGATATCTTTTTAACGAGGTTTCATTAACTTTTGTCCTGCCTTGTGCTTTGGAGAATAAGTCCACCCTCTCTTCTCTAAGACAGCCCTTCAAATACTGAAATATAGCCATCATGTCACCCCTAGTCCTTCTCTTTAATAGATTAGACATATCTAGTTCCCTTAACTATTCATCATACGATTTAGCTACAGACCCCTTATCATTGTTACTCTACTTTGCACTCTTTCTAGTTTCTCACATCTTTTTTGTTTTGTGGTGACGAGAACTGGATACAGTATTCCAAGTGCATTACATAGAGAACTATCACTTCTTAGCGATCTTGATACTATTCCTCTGTTGATGCAATCAAGGACTGTATTCACCTTTTTGGCAGCTGCACCATACTTGAGTGATGGAACATACTTAAGTGATGGCCCATGAGATCACCTAGATCCCTCTCACAGTTACTACTGCTGAGTCAGATATCACCTATTCTATAACTGTGCATTTGGTTTTTCTGCCTAGGTTCAGCACCTTACTTTTCTCATGAATTGTACCCTTATTTATTCAACCTATATGTGGAATATAAATTCAGGAATGGAAGAAGATGAGTGTGATTTTAAAATTGGAGAAAGAACCTTCTATATAAACTGTGCTGTGCTGTAACTGACAATGTAAATGATCTGCCAAGTGTAGCAACGAATGTAAGGAGGAGAGAATAATAACAATAGGATTAAGATTAAATATAAAGAAAGACCAAATTAATGATAACAGATATAGTGATCAGCCTTAGAACTGTCAATGAATTTTGATGCTGAAGAAAACTGTTGAGAATGTCTTGGATAGGGAGGAAAATAAACAAATGTACGGCTGAACAAATCAACCCAGAGTTCTGAGTCAATGCACAAAAATAATCAGGCTCAAATGATGATTCTTTGTATGCATTAGGTTCTCTGAATAAATCTATAATTCTGGGAATGGTAGAAGAAAAAAGAAGAGCACCAGCAGGGTAGATGAACTCAGTTACAATGGTGTGGCAATGGGTATACCCATTGGAAGACCTGAAGGACCAGGTTGGGAGCAGATCCCCTGGAGAATGTCTGTGTGGTTGCTAAGAGTTAAAAGTGACTTCATGACTCATCATCATCATATGTGAAATGCATCTATTATCTTAGCTATATTTATGGTTCCTTAGGTATAAATAAATTACAGTACTCAGAGTAGCCCAAGTGTGTAATTCTTAATTTGAAGGATAAAAATTGCAAAGTTTGTATGGTGGGAATTTTACATTTGTGAAGAATGAAATGTTTCATTATGTTAAAAATACGTTTCCTAGCCTGTCAACTGGTTTTTCCTAATGCAACAAATGCATTAAGATCGATGCATGTGACTGAGGGATTATATAGTGGAGGAAGACTTTCCTTATCACAAATTGGGTCCTATTAGAGGTAACCAATGGAGCTTCAAGGCAGTTTTAACTATATTTACACTGTAAATCAGCATGTCACAACACATGCAAAAATAAACACTAAATTCTTCCAGTACTGAATAATTTCTAGATCTGGAGTATTATCTCTAATAAAACTACCATTTATTTTATTGCACTGTTTTAACACTTAAAAAAAAGTAACAATAAAATAAAAACTAGAGCAGTTGATATATTTTGCACTCTCCGGTATATGATGGAAAAGGTCACTTTCTTTGCCTATGAATGCCAGGGCCCCATCTAGTGGTAATTTTCAGGTCCATACGGAGTCTATAGTCAAATTAAACACCCACATATAGATATTAATTTGCACATGGACATAGTGAATAAGAAAGATGATTTTGTTATGGTTCCAATGATGCTATGATAAATAAATATTTTAAATATGCAATCATGCTTTTTTATGCAGACTTATTCTGTCCGCATATATCATGAAGTTTTTCTTTGTTTCTTCTGTTCAATTGTCTCCGATTCTCAAAGATTACCTGGAGATTTTTTTAGCATTTTCAAAGTGATTTGCTATTGCCTCCTTCCTAAGGCTGAGATATGTGACTGGCCCAAGGTGGGACTAGAAATCAGAATCTTACTCACAAGCCTGTGCCTGGATTTATCCAGTTCCAGCTGATTGAAGCTTTTAAAATCAATTGTATGCTGCACTATTTTTTTTCCTTTCTGGATTATTGAATATAAATCAGGTACCTATGCATAGTTGAATTGAATGCTCAGAAGGAATAATTTAACAATTTGCATAAAATTAAATTGCTTAAGGCAATACTTTCCCCCTGTCTGTTTAAGGTACTATGAAATATGAAAAAAATTGTACAAACCAAGGAATTAATATTTGTAAAAGGGGTTCTCCCAAGGAAGGTATGAGAAGTGTTAGAGAACATTGCATAACTCTGAGCTGGTTTCTATCTTGTACTGTACAAAAACTGATCACAATTCATTTTCAAAACTGGTATCTTGCTGAATGCTAGCATAGGGCCTTTTACAGTGTGCCTTCGTTAGTAGCCTAACTATGTGCGCAAATACCACATAGGCAGGCTATAAATTACTGATTCTAACTTTGCATATATTCTTAGTTCTTATTTTGCTTGCTTTGCAAAATGTTGCTGACTCCAAAAGAGAATACGTTTTGTGTGTGTGTGTGTGTGTGTGTGTGTGTGTATTACACATAATTATTCCTAATATTTACATTGTATGCAAAAAGTATTGAGCACTCTTTTACATGCAACTTTTTCAAACTCTTTTTACACAGTCTTTTTGGGATTCATATTTTCCAAGTATTCATATTTACCAAGTAAAGTAATTTTTGAGGAGGGAATGATGGATCTTTGGGAATCTGTTCCCTGCTGACAGTATCAGATGGAATCTGCTTAGACACAGCCACCCAATTCTCTTCCACTGGAACCCATATTGGGAATTTTTTACACTCCTACTCCTCACATCTCTTTATTTGTCTTATTAGAAAATGAACCACAGTTCCACGAAAAGCTAACTTAAAAGAGCATGATTTCATACATAGATGTGGATCAGTTATCAGAGTTCTGTTCTTCTGACAGCTCTACAAACTACGCAGGCCTCTTAACTTTTCTGCCTACAGAAGAATAAAAGAAGTGATGGGCTGCCCTCTAGTGGCTTTTCTTTAATTTTCAGCTAGAAGTAAAAAAGCTGTTCATTTTCTCATAGCATTTCAGAATACAAAAGCTCATATGAGAAAGTAGAAGGGAATCGATATAGTTAATAATTAAAACTGATGTGGTTCAGTGACTGCCTTACACGTCAGAAAACCTCTAGTTCAAGTAATCAGGTAAACCTCTAGTTCATCTCAGGTAAAATTTCTCTATCTTTTAGCAAGACAGCATTTCCTCAGATTCATAGTGTGAAATAGAGAGATTTGCAAAACCTTGTATGCAACCGGAGAGTTTAGTGTGGCTTCCTTAAATACCTGATAAGTACATACTAATATTTGGTTAATTTTAATCTTATTTGTATTTAATTACAGTTAGGCCCACTCACGTCTTTGTCTTCTAACATTTGAAAGTGTGGTTCCTGAAACTGCAACCTCACATACTCTTTTTTTCCCCAGTAAATAAAGCCTATTTATTCTTGGTCTGGATTTGTTCAGCTATACCACATGGATTGTGTTCACAGCCAATGGTAAAAGAGAAAGGTTCTCAAAGAAAAAGCTTTTGAATATTTCAATATTTGGCCTATAATACGTTTCCAAATTTTATCATCTGAGAGGCAAGAAATAGAACAGTAGGGATAAGAATCCAAGATAGCTGAGTTAAAAATGTCTCCTTAAATAACAAATAAAAATGCTGAGTGGTCAATAGGACAATCAAATTATTATAAGTTAATAAAAATGCAGAATATTTTTGGCAAAATAATTCAGATTCCTGAAAGAGATTAGGTAATTTGCAGTAAATAACAAGTCCTACTCATCTCATAGGATTCTTGCGTGGATATGTTTGCAGAGAATCCAGATATGCTATCTTGAAGTCTTTGGTAGAAATATCTGAAAACCTTCAAATAATTAGGAGGCTTCTAGAACATTTCTTTTTAGCACTAGAATCTTTAACATCCACTCATTTCAGAATTTGTGCTTCAACAAAATGTTCCTTCTTCAGAAAGGTGTAATAATTCCAGCGTAGCTGCAGTAAAACCAGGAAACTCACTGTCACTCCATTTCTTCTCTCCCTGGAAGTCACTCTTATCATTCTTGAATTGCATTGTGTTTTCCTATCAATTATTGAACAGACCATTATAATTATACACTGAATACTTAGTTTTCCATATTTATATATGGACCAGACCTGACCCCCATTTATATTTCCAGATCAACTTGAAATATTAAATTTATTTGATTTGTATTTGTGAATCCATTTGGAACATCAGAAAAAGTGCATGTGTGTGCAAAACCTGTCAAATTTCACTCTGGTATTTAAATTTGTTTCAGAGATTCCTTTGGAAATGGAATTAATTCATCAAATTGATGTTTGAGGGGAATGCTAGTCTTAAACTTTTCCAAATCAGGAAGCACCAGGAGACAGAGATTTCAGAATGATGCAACGTATATAACAGAAAGCATGAACTTTCTTATTACCAGCTCCAGTGTTATAATAAACTCAAGAATGACCTTGAGAAATTTGAAAGAAATTCTCAAGCACCCGGAGAATAAGTCTGAAAAACAGAAGCTTCTTTCATAGGGTAGGAAAACTTTTGAAAAATTGCCAGGCACAGCTCAGCACACCCTTTCACTGAACACATTTCTGACACACAAGTGCATAACGGGCTCTATGCACCATAGTTTGCTAAGAGATTGCTCATCTGACAAGGTTCCTTGCATCATTACTAAATAATAAATAATAGTTGTAATGCCTGCATACAGAACAGCAGCTGCTATTAGCAGCAGGAGAGGGAAGGGGAGCCAGGCCCATCTCTTCTCAAGGTACATTTGCCCCCTGTGTGCTCTTAACTCTGAAGAGGAGAGGGAGGAAAAGCTCAACTTGTGGGACTCTAACATGCACCCAGGGACACGTAACAAAATGGAAGCATTTCCCGAAGAGGTAAAACAGAGGCAGTGATTTACCAGGAAGAGATTTATAAAAAAAAACAAGAAGTTACGATGATGCTGAATGCTGTCTTTTAAGATTCCAGGGTTCCACCTTCTGAAGGCCAATCCTTCAGTTCTGCAGAGCCCTTTAACCCAATAAGCCATTTCCCCAGTGTGGAGCTCACTACAAAAAGAGCTGCAACTACTCAATTGAAGGCTGTCTCCCAAATTCATGGAGTGATACATTTAGCAGCTTTGATGGGAATCTTAGCTTTGGCTTCACAGCTCTAGTCCATTTCCCTTCCCTCCCCCCTCGCAAGCACAATAATTGTAATAAGGTAGAACTAAAGTACCATCAGAGTAAATATCTAAATAAATGAAGGAAGAATAAATGATCCCTTCCCTCCACTCTCCTCACCATAGATTTGTAGAAACAGCAATTTCATACTGGTAGTTCTGTTTTAAGTGAGGAAAGACTTCAGTCATAAATGGGGTCATTCCTGTGCTGGCTAAGCAGAGTCAGACTGGGTTAGTAGATGGAGGGGAAGCTGGACACGACTGGGAAGCTAAAAACATACAGGAGGTGGCAATATAAGGCTATTTCTATTTGCTTATTTGTTAAGCAAATCATATATACACATCTCCACTGTCAGTAGGTGTTGAGTCTGACAATATTTGTTTCCAAATGTTATTGAATTTGTGATGTTTATGCTCTGCATTACAAGGTGGATTTTAATGTAAGAATTCTTATTTTAAGTAGGAAAACCCTAAAAAAACTTATGCAGAAGAAAACATTTACTACACTGAGGAAGACATTTGGTTGAATGTCTGGTTTAAGAATGTCATCAGGGATATTAGACTGCTTTATAAAGGTCACATTTTTATATTATTTTGATAGACTGTTACACCAAATTACAAACACACACAAACTCACATACAGATGCATATACATAATACATTGAACAGTCAGTTGAGCATTTTGCTCTTGCACAGAATTTATTTATTTAAAACATTTATAAAACTGCCCATCTTCCAACCAATTCTGGGCAGCTCCCAATCAGAAATTAAAAATCATGTAAAATCATATCAAATTATGAACAATAACCTATTAAAACATTGAAAACACAAAAACCTGGCATATACTTTGCATGAATGGCATCTAATCAGTTCTAGGTTAGATTTAGTACAAGCATTTAAGAAATCCTTGTGGTGTAGTTGGAGTGCAAAGAATTTTGGTGATGTTATTTTCAGGCCTTCAGTATTTTCTTTTAATCAACCCTTTTTGATGCTACATACAGTATACTTGTGATTTTTCCTGTGACCATTTGAACTTACAGTTTTCATCCCTAGCCTCTATTCCTGATCACATTTCTCTTAGGCATTCATAGGATATTCATGCAAAGTATATGAAATCAAATGTCAAGTAAGAATTTCCTGATACTAGAAGATACCATGATTTTAATAGGAAGTTAGATTTTTCAGGCAGTGATAACAAATATTGAATGAGAGATCCACTATTTTATTTCATTGTGGCAGAAGCAAGAAGCAGGGCAAATGGACTTTATATTATTATTATTCTGGCAGCTATGTTTATTCACTAAATGATTGCAGTTCGAGTACACATCTTCATGTTTGCAAGGATTTGCTGAAAATTTTAAAAAGAGAGGAAACATGAATAAAAGTGAGATATTACCAAAAGTACAACTGCTAGGGACTGTTTTACAATTGTATGCAAAGTTTTAGAACTCAGAATCAAATATATGTGTTTTTTTAATAGGATGATTTATAGCTGAAGATTTTTTAAAATGAAAATAGTACTTAGATTATTATTTTAGAATAATTATATGCAGCTGCTGAATTATTACTTTCATCAATAGTCCTGAACCAAATTCAACAAAAAGCTGGTATGGATTTTAAGTTCTTTCTAAACTGAAATAGACTGCTATCATTCTTGTTTTCCCTGATTCAGTTGCCTGGGCTCATCAACCACTCGTGTGGGAGCATATAGATTTGAGGCTGGCCATCTTCCATTATGCCTGTTATTCTACCTAGAGATGGTCAGCTCTTCAAATAAAATCTGTTTGGCATAATCTTTACAAATGTTAGTATAATAATTGACTTTAAAAAAAACTTACTGCATAGTCCGTTGACACAAGCCGAAGGACAGTCCCCACAAGGTGGCCCGGATTTATATGGAGTAGCAATTTTACCTCTGATGTTTCCTCTGGAATGAAAAAAATGAACGGAAAGGTGCCATATATTATTATAGTTACATTTGTGATTGCCAAACCCCCATGCCATATCAATAGATAATTGACTTGATTGCATTGTCTTGGTCTCTCTGGTTTGAGTCTGTAATTTTGAGAGAGCAGATAGCACCACCGTCGGAGGGGAAGACGTGACTCTGAAGTAAACCCTGTCAAGTTCTATGAGAGAGCAAAAAAGGATTTCCCTGGCTTTTTAGAGAGAGAAAGAATTGAGGGAAAATGTGACTTTCTCCTCATGCCTATTTTTTTTCTCTCTTTCATTTCCCCTCTTTCTTTGTAACATTCTCCTTCTCCTATCTCTCTGTCTTGATGAGACAAATCATAGTTGATACATACGCTGGGCAATAGTGACAAACATAGAAGTAGTTGTATGAGGATGAAGGACATCTGGCAGCAGCACAACCAACAAGGTAACTTTTGTACCAAACTACCTGTAGATACAAAAATATGCACACAGTTGACATGCTAGAAGCGTAATATTGATAATAAGCATATGGACCTCAGAGGAGCATCTAAGAAAATAAGCCCAAATGTGAGCATGGTGCAATATATATAGTTGTTTGCTCTTAGCAAGTGAACTGGGATACTACAATAGCAATGAATGTACAAAGAACTTTTCCAATCATTTCATATAAAAGTTTGCTGAAGCAAAGAAATATTAGAACAAATGAGGCTTCATCCTCTGTGCTTTAAATGTATATATTTTAAATGTAAAATATGAAACTGTTCCATCCTGGACTTTATAGATCACCCCTTTCTAAAGTGCCCCACCCATCCAAAGCAATCCACATGTCACGTGCTATGACAGCAAGCTAGTTCTTCCTTCCTAGCTGCATGAAAACCATGATCTGCAGCTATCTGTGAATAACAAATAACATGTTTAGTATGTTTGCCATCCTTCATTTACACCATCTCAGAACTTAACAACAAAAAACATTGCAACACTTTAACCTAGTCTAGTTTTGCCATTCCTTAACATATCCTGGGATTATGACTCTTAACCAGGATGCTCCTTTGCTCATGTTTATGGAATTACTTAGAGATTGTAACAACACAGTTGCTTGGTTTTCTTGGCCATAGCATAGCACAAAAATGTTTTATTAATATCTTATGTGGGATGTTTTCTCAGTTTTCTAGTCTAGCTTCAAGCCATGGCTTTCCTATGTTACCATCAGGCCTGGCTTAGTTTAGCTTAGGATCAGCCAAGAACTTGAGCTTGATTCAAGGGAATCTACTTTTTTCATCTTATTCATTTTTGTGGATTTATACTTGGTGAACATAGAAATGGCAAAGATTCAAAAAAGTACTACCTGAGTATAATGGCCTATAACAGCATTTGGTGGGTTGGCTCCAACGTCATACTTGAAATTTTTGTTTTCATCAAACCAAGACTGAATTACTCTAGTCCATGGGAAAGGATGACTCGACATGAATAGATTTTCACCACATTTTAATTTTCCTAAAAGTGGGGAAGGTTTAAAAAAACAACAACAGGAAAACACAGGTGAATACATGTTTTGAAAGAAGCAAAAGGACAGCAGAAAGGAAATAGTTGAGCATTTCTTATCTCTCCAGAAATACTAATACAATCAATCGTCTTGCTAAAAATTGAAAGGAAATTTGCACCCAGATTTCATACCGTGGTGCTTTTCCAGAAACTTTAATTGTACAAACTGATAATCATTTGTTTTCTGATGAGTATCAAATTATATATTTTATTTGGAATAAATTAGAGCCCAGATACCCTAATTTGTGGGGACATCTATATGTTATTACTACATAGTGTGGTATTGAGATTAGGGAGATGTAGGTTTAATTCTCCACTTGATCATGGAAATCTCTAAACATCTTTGGGTTCAGCATCTACCATCACAAACAGTTGTGGTGAGGATAATATCTTTAGCATCATGGGGGATGGTAGATTATAAATGTAGTAATAAATATAAAAAAGAAATAAAAAATTCATTGTTCAAATATCATTTCTCCTGCAAACCCATGGGGGGGGAGAGAAATTAAGAAAATTATTAACATTTCAATCCAATCCAATCATCTACATGGAGTGGTAACTACGAAGTGATTCATAGATATTACTCTTGCTGCTCATGAAGAGTAAGATTGATTGTAAGTGTTATTTAATGTGAAATGTATTATTAATCCACTAACCAGCTAAAACTATGGTTTTGGACTAACTTACCCACAGTTCTTAAGTGTGGTTGACTATGACCAAAAGAACATCTGTCTGCCCAACGTTTTGCATTTTGAGCAGCATTAAAACTCCATTCCTGAATAGAAGTCGACAGCAACAATCAGTCATTGGAAAAAAAGCATATGTTAAATTTGCAGAAAATATTTCTCTGATGATTGTTTACTACCTTTTGTATTCCTTCAAATCTTGTAGTTAAGAATTCCGAAGTTACACCAATATTCTCTAAAACATGCTTTGAATGGTTGGATCTCCCTCCCCATACCTTATATATAGCTGCCCTTCTCAAAAAACACAAAGCTCTGGGTGGTATACAACAAAGTTAAAAAACAGTAATTCACAATAACAGCAAAAATTATTATTAAAAACATTAAAAACTATAGAATATAGCCAAAAGGAAATGGAGCAGGAAGTGGGACAGGAAGATTATTTGGGAAGAGGTGGTTTCTCCAGTAACCTGCCCCACATTATGTAGGACAAGGGTCCCCCAACACCCAAGCCACAGCCCATTCGGGAGCCCAGCTGGCAAGTGGCAGGAGAATGTGTGTGTGAGCTCAGCTCTACTCATGCGAGAGGTTGTTGAGCAAGCGGGTACGCAACTCCACTCATGTGTGGTGAGCACTTGCGCAGGCAACTCCCCTCATGCAAGTGGCAGGTGCTTGTGTTTGTGCGTGAAGCTTCATTCTGTCCCTCACACACCGACATCCCCTCTCCCCCTCCCCCGCATTGGGGCACCAAGCCAGAAAGGTTGGGGACACTGATGTAGGACTTTAAAGGTCAAAATAAGCATTTTGATTTGGGCCTGGAGACAAAGTGGTAGCCAAGGCAACTTGCTCAGCAGAAGTATATTATTTGTTCTATGAAGAACACACATAACTACTCATGCTGTTGTATTTTGCACCAATTGAAGTTTCTGGGTATTTTCAAAGGCAGTCCCATGTAAAGCACATTAAAAAGTCCAACCAGGAGGTGACTGGGGCACGAGAGACTGAACAGGGCCCCTCAATCCAGGAATGGGCACAAGTGATATACAATATGAAGTTTATGAAGACCCTCTTAGCCATAACTGCCACCTGCTCCTCAAACAGGAGCTGTGAATCAAGGAGGACCCCCAGATCGTGCACAGAGTCTTCTTAGGGCAATCCAGCAGCAAAGATGTCATAGTCCCAGAACTGGAGCGTCCAAAACCCTAAAGCCACTCAGTCTTCACAGGTTCAGTTGAAGCCTATTGTTCCTCACCCAAACCCTCACAGTCTCCAGACACCACAATAAAAGATTGACGACATCACTTAATGTTCCAAGGGCAGACACGTGCAATTGAATATTATCATCATATGACGATACCTCATTCTAGCAATCTCATTTAGCAGTTAAATAGGAGAGGAGAAGCACCAACCCCTTGAACCCCACACATTAGGTGCCCAGGGCAGATTCTCTCCTCCCCAAACTTATCAAGGTTCCTGCATGATGAGTTCATGTGTGACTCTTCTGTGATAATTTACACAGTAGAACTCACAGAATCTTGTGATGCATGTAGAAAGGGATGAGGCATAGATCATGACAGTGTCATTTATGTCAATCTGACATAAACTTGCAAACTGTCTTACAAGGCCAGAAATACAATTATATTACCATTTGTAGCATGTTTCTAGCAGTTGGTCTCACTGATCTCCGTAAAGCATTGTACTTGTCAAGAATCTCCTTTTGTTTTTCTCTTTTGTTAGTTGACTCAGAAGCAAAATCAACCTTAAGACAGAAAGCAAAAAGAAAATGTTTAAATTTAAATGTTCATACCACTTTATGATGCCTTGGTAAGGCCACACTTGGAATATTGCATCCAGTTTGGGCCATCATGATGTAAAAAAGATGTTGAGACTCTAGAAAGAGTGCAGAAAAGAGCAACAAAGATAATCAGGGGACTGGAGGCTAAAACATGAAGAACAGTAGCTGGAATTGGGTATATCTTGTTTAATGAAGAGAAGGACTAGGGGTGACATGATAGCAATGTTCCAATATCTCAGGGGCTGCCACAAAGAAGGGGAAGTCAAGCTATTCTCCAATGCACCTGAGAGCAGGACAAAAAGCAATGGATGGAAATTAATCAAGGAGAGAAGCAAGCTAGAACTGAGGAGAAATTTCCTGACAGTTAGAACAATTAATCAGTGGGACAACCTGCCTCTAGAAGTTGTGAATGCTCCAACAATGGAAGTTTTTAAGAAGAGATTGGACAGCCATTTGTCCGAAATAGTATAGGGTTTCCTGCCTGAGCAGGGGGTTGAACTAGATGATCTCCAAGATTCCTTCCAACTATTCTGTTCTGTTCTATTCTATGGAACAATCCAACACATCAGGAAGTTTAATGAATGATTTATTGTAAGAGGAGAAAGTTATGTACTGTATATATTAAATCTGTTAGATGTGATACAAAATTATGAAACTTACAGTTCCAGAAGATTGTTGCAGCACTGCAGCAAAACTTAGAAAGGCAATTAAGGCAATCATTTCTAAAAACAAAAGAACATTAAGACATATCTGTGCTTAACTTGCTTAATGGAATTTGTGCCAACTTTCTCTAAGTAGTTTAGAATGTTTGCAAATGGCTCTCTGAAGATATATATTTCCTAAGACTACAAAACTCACTCCAGCTCTTATGTGTTTTCTCTCCTTTACTCCTTTGTACTCCAGTATGCAGCCTACATATCCATGGTTCATCAACAAATCATCAACAAGTAGAGAAAATATGGCACAATACTATTACAAAGAACTTGACATCCCTCCAGAATTGTTGAAAAAGAATAAGAAAACTGGTCTGAGAGGCTGCCATGATGCCTACAGCAACATTAAAGGGGCTGCAGGAATTTCTAGCAAGTATTGGTTGTGTACTACATGTGACTAACATCCCAGCATTATGCTTTGGGACTGCTTTTCTTTAGCCAGAACTGGGATTTTAGTCAAAATGGGGGGAAAGATGAACAATTTCAAATATTGGTCAATTTTGACACAAAACCTTCAGGCCTCTGAAGATGAAGAAGAATGTCACCATTCAACCTGACAATCCAAAGTGTTATGTCCTGAGCCTGTGCAAGCAGGCTCGGGGCATTGCAAACGGTCCTGGGCAGGTGCAAGTTGCCCGGGACCAGACAGGCTGTCACCAGTACTTGTGCGCATGCGCAAGTGCTGGCGCGCCAAAAGTTGCAGATTGACCCGGGGATGGCCTATATAAGAGGCCAGGAGTTTTGGGCGTTGCCGGTGTCTTCTAACTGTAATGCTGAACTAAGAATAAAGAGTTCCTGAGAACTACAACTGCTTCTCGTGTCTTGCCATTTCGCGAAGGACCCAACACAAAGCATATGTTCAAATCAACAAAAGAATGGCTTCACCAGAAGACCAAATTTTTGGAAGGCCCAAATCTGAATCCCACTGACAATCTGTAGGGTGTCCTGAAGAGGGCTACGCACAGGAGAAACCCTTGCAATCTGACAGATTTGGAATGCTTTTGCAAGGAAGAGTGGGCTAAAGTCCCAAGGCAAGATGTGCCATACTGATTGGCCAATTGGCTTCTACTCCAAAAGACTGAATGTTGTCATAAAACAAAAGGGTGCTTCAACAAAGCATTAGTTTAAGGGTGTGTACACTTATGCAACAATGTTATTATAAATTTTTTATTTTTATTTTCCCCTCTAAAAGATTACAGTTGTTTTTCAATTGAATTGTACAGTTTGTATTAAAGGTGGAAAAAATCTGAAGTGATTTATCTTCGTCTGATTTTTTTTAATCTCAAAAACCTGGCATTTTAACAGGCTGTGCAGACTTTTTATAACTACTGTATCATCTATATATAAATCTACAAACCTACAATCGTTCCTAAAGTTTTCCCTTATTGATTTGCCGCAGTAAAAGATAACTTTCACCCGAGCCCTTTCCATAAAAACCAATTTAAAAAATCACACCATTCAGAGATTATTGAATCTAAAATTCAATGTGTCTGAAGGACCCCAGGTTGGAAACAGCTCATTTAGAATATATTGCTTCTCAGTCTTTTGCCTTATATCAAATATAATCAACAATCAAGGAGACACAAAGGCTACACAGTTAACGCATTTGGCAATAGTGATTCCTCCTGAGGCAATGCAATCAGAATTTGTTCCTGATTGCAAGAATTTGTCCTGGCAGCCTTTATTTGAAAGCGTGGAAACAGATTCGATTAACATGATACTTAGTTCTCAGTGTCTCAGGTGTGCTAGGAAGTGATGTGACACCACTGTGTGTGGAGTTGGCTTTTCTGTGGCCCTTTTCCCTGGCTACACGAAGCAGAAACTGAGATGAACCTTAAAATGGATAGCGGAATGGGCAGCGTATACATTTAATAATAATTTTTTTAAAAAATAAAATTGTTGAGTTAGAACTCTAGCACTATGCATAAAATATTGGGGGACACTAAACCAGACTGCCAAAATCCATAATATCAGGGAAGGAGGAAATAGAAAAAATAGCTTACTTTATGAGCTCAGTTTCTCTTAGGGAAAAGTATTAAGCCATCCTGAGTCAAAAAGCAAAAAGGGATAGGATTAAGTTTAAATGTTTGAGGTCTTAGTTATTGCAGCTATTTACATACCAGCAGTACAAATGTTTATTTGGAAGTCATCCCCATTGAGTTCAATTTGCATTTCATTCATATAAATGCACAAAAAGTTCTGTAGCCTTGAAACAGTTTTAATTCAAATTTCCTCTTTCCGAGAAATGTTAGTTTGCTAAGGGAAGATCCAGGGATGCCTAAAAGGATCACTGGCAAACTCAAAAAATATCAGTATCAGATTTTTGAAAAGAAAGCCATGCTAGCTAAGCTAATATAAAACCTAATGTATTATGGTACTAGATGTAACATTCTTAAAGATAGAACAAAACACAATAACATCACAGAATGGCATGAACTGTGACTAATCCTAAATTACTTTTTTTCTAAAATGATCTCAACTTGCTTAATTAGAAACAATGGCTAACCAAGCTACAGTATATAATAAATCTTACCTGTTGTTTTGAATAAGCCCCAGTGTAACTCCTTTGTTGCCTTTCAGAAAATTGTGGGAGTCAGACAGACAATACCATGATTATATACCTTCACTGCTTCCTGTATTTCAGAGTGACTCAGTGCTCAACAGTAAATTATATCCGTTAAACCTTGTAAGACAGAAGTTTGAATTTGTCAGAAGTTCTTTTTTTTTTTCTTTCTTCCTCTTCATGACTTCTCAGGTGAAAAACTGCTCCTGAATCTATTTAAAGCTACCTAGTAACTTATATAAAGAAATAAATGGATATTTATCTGAACTGTCTGAACATACCTGGAAGTAAGTTCCAGTTGTGTCAATTAAGTTCCATTTTTAACAATAGAATTTAGCTAAAATGTGTTTACAACTGCAGACAAGTTTCTGTTTCACAGTTGATTGTTCTTAGAAATTGAGATAAAATGTTCCACTAAACTATTATTTTTTTAGTGCTACATTGATTGCACAATGTGTTTACACAAATTTACATATGAGTCCAAGGCAGAAACATGTATTCCTATTTCTCAAGGTCTTTGTGAAATTATGAAAAAGATTTAATTAATATTTATAGATGAATCTATTCGAAGAAAAGTTTTTATTATTTATTTATTTAGGAAAATTTATATGGCGACCCAAGTCACTCTTAGTGACTATGGATGGCTTACAAAGATAACAATAAAATAGAAAAACAATAAAAAGCAATAACTCCCACTCCCTGCTGACAACAATCAGTCAATCAAATAAGCCATTTGATGGGCTCCATCCCACTCTGGGTTTCCCAGGCCCCCTGGCAAAACCAGATCTTCAGGGTCTTGCGAGAGAGTGTCAAAGTGGAGGCCAATCTTAACTCTGTGGGGATGGTGTTCCACAGGGAGGGAGCCAGCATGGAGAAGGCCCTTTATCTTGGTCCTGCTAAATATACCTCCTTTGAAGAGAGGATCCATAGCATTCCCTGCCTTCCCACTTTGGTGGATCAGGTAGATGTGACTGGGAAAGGATAGTCCTTTAAATAACCTAGTCCCAAGCCCTGTAGGACTTTAAAAACAACAATCAATGCCTTGAATTGAACCCAGAAGCAACTTGGCAGCCAATGCAGCTTCCACAATAGAGATGACATAGGTGCACATCTATGCCTGCACAAAACCGTTTTGAACTAATTGAAGCTTCCAGATATTTTCAAGGTCAGCCCCATGCAGAATGTATTACAATAGTCAAGACGCGAGGTGACCAGGGCGTGAGTGACTGTGAGCAGGTATTGGTGCAGGAAAAAGGCATAACTGGCACACAACCCACAGTTGTACAAAGGCCTTCCTGACCATGATTGCCACCTGCTCATTGAGCAGGAGTTGTGAGTCCAGGAGTCAAGAGTCTAGATTAAACATTGGGTCTATCTGGGGCAGTGGCACCCCATCCAAGACCAGAGATGGTGATTCTCCATGTACCAGAGAACCCCAAACCCAGAGCCATTCCAACTTGCCAGGGTTCAGTTTCAGCCCTTTATAGCCTCCAAGCACTGCAAGAGGGAAGTCACGGCATTGCTTAAGTCACCATATGCTGAAACATATAGCTGGATGTTATCAGGATGTTAATGTTATTTCAGTCCATGATGGTGGATGATCTCATCCAATGGCTTCATGTAGAAGTGGGGAAAGTACCAAGCCCTGTGGGATTCCTCAGAGCAGGGAACGAGGGTTGGACCTCATGGTTTGTATCAACATTGACTGAAAGTGACCACAGAGGAAAGAAGTGAACCAAGACAACACAGAACCCCCCCCCAACCCCCAAACCCTAAAGCTGCTCCAGAAGGATACCATTGTTGATGGTGTGAAAGGTCACTGAGAGGTCAACTAGAACAGGCCTTTTCAACCTTTTCACCCATTGTACCACTTTTAGGATATGGCAATATCCGAGTTCCACCAGTCGCCTAGCAAGGTGTCAAAAACTTGATGACCAAAAAAAAAAAGGAAAAAAAGTGATAAAGTACAGATAATCCTCAACTTACAATAGTTCGCTTAGTGACTGGCACTGAAAAAAGTGCCCCCTAAGCCACAGCTGAGCAAGACACCTTCCTGCCCATCCGGTGACGCTCTTCCCCCTGTCCGAGGTTTTCATTGTTGTGAGCATTTCTGTTGAGGATTGGCAGTGGAGGTGGGGTGGGGTTTTTTGGTTTTTATTCCCCCCCCCCATCTGCTGGGTGGTTGCAGCAGGTTTTGGTCACTTCACATGACCCTGGGACACTGTGACCATCATAAATATGAATCAGTTGCCAAGCATCTGAATGTAAATCACAAGACCCTGGAGATGCTGCAACATTCCAGCTGATCAGCGCTTCTTCAGGGCTCAGCAGAAGCACCAGGATCAGCGCCGAGCTCCAGCTGGAGCCTGGTGCTGATCCTGGCACTTCTGCTGAGCCCTGACAGCCCTGCAGCTCCAGCCATCTCTCGCTCAGGCTTTGCGGTGCTGCCACCGGTTCAGCTCATTCCCCTCCCCCAATATCACTTTTCTAGGATGGTCGTGTACCACCTGCCAGGTGCCAATGTACCACAGGTGGTACCCATACCACTGGTTGAAAAGCCCTGAACTGGAACAAGGGTGGATATACTATCCTCATCCTGCTCTCACCAGAGACCATTAAAAAGTGTGACCCATGCTGTTTCCGTCCACTTCACAACAACATTCCGCAAAAAGGGAAGATTGGAGACAGGATAAAAATGATCCAGTAGGGTGTTGTCTAGTGATGGCTTCTTAAGAATAGGCAGATCATGGCCTCCTTAAAATATTGAGGCAACATGCCGTCCCTCAGAGAAACATTAATCACCACCAGAACCCATCCGCATGTTACTTCCTGGGAAGCTTTCACAGGCCAGGAGGGGCTTGGTTCTAAAACCCAGGTGCAAACATCTAATGTTTAGTAAATATTTGCAAAGCTCACCATGCTAATCTAAGGGAATGTTGTTGTCTTTCCAAATTACATCCTTCTATCTGTTTGTTTGTTTTTTGTTTTTGTTTTGCTTCTTCTGATAACTGAGAAAATCTAAAAACTAGAAAATCTAGTTTTTCCTTGTAAAATATAAGCAAGAACTGGGAGTGAGAAAGGCAAGAAAAAGGTCGGGGTGTGTGTGTGCTATGTTCTTTTGCTAAATTATATCAAAATAAAGGAAGACTCAGTGTTTCTCCCAGGGCTCCTTTTATTACAACCCAGACAGAATTTCCCCATTCTGAGAGGGGGCTTCACCTGCTGGAGATGTACATAACTATTTCGTGGTTATCTCTAAAGGGCAGTCGTGGGATTTCTCTTACGAATGTTCTACACTCAACTGAATAGGCATAAAGAATCAGATGTTTATCAAACAACTAGGAGCATCCAGAGGAAAGTGCCCTTTCATTCCCATTCTACTATTGCTCCTCCAGGCTTTTTATTTTTAGAATCACAATTGGCTGGGAATTTATTTGAATTTTGGTATGAATAAAAATATCTAAACCAAAAGAAAGTTAGAAAATTTTGCACATCTATCAAGCATGATAAAATAACCCTTCTTGTTGTCCACATTCCAATATAGATTTGAAGTACCTTTATTCATTCTAGATCATTTTTCTTCTATCATATAGCAATAATACACCATAATTTGTTCTGTACCACATCTGAGAAATCTAAAATGTATAGGTTTTATTTTATGAATAATAATGTTTTCAAAAAATGTTTTATAGTTTTAATACTGAAATCTTCCTAGTATTCCATAATTAGCATGAGGATGGAAATGTAATTTCTGCAATTTTTTGTGCTGAATTGTTACTACTACCTACTTTGCTAGATTGGAGATTTAGTAGATGGCAGGAATTTATTATGAAAAACAAAATGCTAGGATAAAGTTATGTTGCAAGGATATAGATATTCTTTGGAATGTTACCAATCTAAAATCCAATTATCAGAATTATTGCTTGAAAAAAAGATCAATACTGCCCCAGTCACAGATTGTAATAAGTTTTCCCTGTCTTTAGGCTTTATTATAATTTAATTTAATTTAATATCCTAACTAGTGTTGCAATGGAAAATTATACTGGGATCAAGTCCAATCCAGATTTTTTTACGTAAAGGATCAGGAAGTGAAAACAATGGGAAAAGCTATGTAGTAAGTCATGACTTCGTGGACACATTAAGAAGGATGAAGATTATGCAAATCATATTTAATTAAATACTGTGGTGTTGGTGTTATGATATCTTCAGTTTTGACAGATAGAACTCTAAACTTCTTAATTTAAATTAGGTTGATTTCACGGAAATGTTTCTAAATAAAGCTCATCCATATTTTTTCATATTGGAAAATACAACTAATTAAGATGGATTTAGAAAGATAACTATTTCCTTTAATGTGGAATTTAGAATAGAGTAAAATAGAGCTAGAAGGGACCTTGGAGGTCTACTAGTCCAGCCCCCATTCAAGCAGGAGAACCTATAGCATCACAGACAAATGTCTGTCCAGTCTCTTCTTAAAAATATCCAGTGATGGAGTGCCCACGATTTCTGGAGGCAATTTCTGGAGGTTAATTGTCCTCACTGTCAGGAAGTTTCTCCTTAATTCCAGGTTGCTTCTCTCTTTGATCAGTTTCCAACCATTGTTTCTTGTCCTGCCCTCTGATGCTTTGGTGAATAACTCCCTCTTCTTTGTGGCAGCTCTTCAAATACCGGAATACTGCTATCATGTGTCCCCTATTTCATCTTTTCTTTAGACTTGCCAAATCCAAGTCCCACAGTCATTCTTCGTATGTTTTAGTCTCCAGGCCTTTGATCATCTTAGTTGCTCTTCTCTGAATTTTTTCCAAACTCTCAACATCTTTTTTGCGATATGGTGACCAAAATTGGCTGCAGTATTCCAGTATTTGTTTTGAAGTTACACAAACTAGCCATATGCATTTGAGTCTGGGTTTAGATAATGATATGCTCAGACTGTAGAGCTAGTTATGGCTGCTGTTTGTTGCTACTGTATGCTTTAAGAGTGTATTAAATGTATCATGATTATCACAACAAACCGTTCAGGTCTTTGAGACATGTAACATCCATTACAATCCAGAGACTTTTGTGCATGGT